TTTTTGCAGTAGGAAGTTAAGCTTAAATCAGCAAGTCTAAAAGCTTAAGCAAAACAAGGGGTTTAAGGGGTTAAAGGCTCACCCTTGTAGAACCTCCTCAAAACCACAACTCCAGCAGCTTTCTTGGATCAAAACCAGTCTAAAAGCACCAAAACAAACCTCAAGAAGCCTCAGTAACAAAAGGATGGTGTTTGAGTGTGTGTTTGTGTGTTAAAGTGTGATAAAATGACACTTTTGAAGCACAAAACAAGAACAAAGGGGAAGATAGAGACAAATGTGTATGTATAACTCTTCAACACAAAAATCTGAACCTGGAGGAGGAGGGGGGAGGTCCTCTCTTATAGAGAACCAAACTCAAGCTTGTTGGACAAGCTTAGGGTCTAAGGCCATCCCTCCATACACGTGTATCGAGGATGGTTCTGGTGCCTTCCAACTGTGCCAACTGGATGAAAATATCTCCAAAAATGTGACAAAAAGTAGCCGACCACCACAAGTGGTCTCCCAAGACAACAAGTGGTCAGCCATGGTGGAAGAAGGTCTAAAGCATGAAAACAATGTAGTGATGTGGTGGCCGACCAAAAAAGGTGGCCCAAAGACCAAGAAAACTAGTTGGCCGACCAGAAAACTGGTTGGCGGGGAGGAAAGTGGTCTCCAAGGGGAAGAACTGGTCTCCCACCCTTGTACCACCTTCCAAACAAGGAAAACAAGGTTTTTATCAAAAACAAACCAAAACGGATACACGATGAAAGTTCGGGAGGTAAGGCACGCGGCCGGAAGCCTCGAAAACTAGCCTACGGGCATCATAAGTGGTCTCCCGGACCACAGTGTCCCTCTAGGCAGAGACAACAAGGTGTGGTTCAAAAACCACGCCAAACGGAGAATGTTAAGCAGTCCCGAGACAAGGCGCGGCGCTGAAGACTCCGAAAACTAGAAACTTGTCTCCAAACGAGAAAAGTGGTCTAAGACCACAAAAGGATGGTCTACCAGACCACTCCCTCCCTCCAGGGAAGGGAAACAAGGCTTGGTCCACAAACCGAGCCAAAGCACAAAGAGTTCAGAGGCCCGGAGGCAAGGTTCTCAGCCAAAACTCCGGAAACTCGAAACGAGCACAACATGCACTATCACCGAGCACTCAATCGATGACGTCTGAGCCTTAAGGTCGGTCAAAAATAGGGTGTCTACACATACATGTCATCATTTCGTTTAAATCCCTAGAGAATCCTAATGAAAAATGTTTAAGTGTAATAAAGTTTCGTTTGGCAATCTTCAATTTTAGTTAAAAAGTTAAAAAGTCATTATAAGTTATCACATCATTTTTTTTATTCTTTTGCACATCTTTTCGTAAAAATTAAAAAATTACTAAAATAATAGGTTTCCAAACGAGGCTTAAGAAAAGATTTAAGTGTAATTTACCAAGAAGAATTAACTCTTTTTTTTTTCCAGTGACTTTTTATTTATTTATTTATTTATTAAAATAGTTTCAGATAAACAGGTACAAACAATAATTACATTAAAATCTAACAATACAAATTTAGGTTGCGTTTAGTAGAACTTTCTAAATATGATTTGAGAGTAATAGTTGTATTTTGAGTTTGTGAGTTTTGGAATTATGATTTGAGTATGGAAAATTTGTTTAGTGAAAGAGTTTTGAAAAGAGTTTTGAAGAGAGTTTTGAATTGAATGAGAAATTTTTGATGTGACATATGATATTTGATATAAAAACTTACAACTCATAACCAAACATACAACTTAAAATTTCATTAAAGCACATAAATTTTTTTTAAAAAAAATTCAGAAAATATTTTTTTCGAATATATAAAAATTAACATGTCAATTGCAAAAAAAAAATTATTTGCACTGTTTCGGTCAACCGGTGGGATGTCCGGTAGGATGTCTGGTGGGACGACTAGTTAGTCTAAATTTTCCCGCCTTCGACCGAGTTTTCAAAAGTGAGTGTGGAATTATGATTTGAAATTCCTAAACAAACGTGAAGCGCGAATGATATGGTGGAATTTTATTTTGAGAATACAACCAAATAGATAGTTTCTACATGAAGCTCGTTTCCCGCCCAAAATTACGGCTCAAAACCCTAAACAGAACCCTAACGTGACGTCACTTCGACGAGAATTCTTAACGAATTGAGCATTCCATTGATGATCTCCAAGAGATAGTCACAATTAGATAGGGGTGAGCAGCGGATATACCGATTTGCCCAAACCGACCGAATCGAACCAATCCGCCGCATTTTGGATGGATGCGTGATAACAAGCGGACGGCTGCGAATTGATTTTTTTTCAATCCGCCTAGTTTTTGACGGATGACGGATTTGAGGTTCATTTGGCAGCAACCGAATAGCCAAACCGCGAGTACCTACAGTAATTTGTAAGACTTTGTATTTTCAATTTGTTTAGATATTTTGATTGTATTTTTAATTGACAAATAATTTAAATATTCTGTTGAATATATTCTGTTGAAAAAGAGTTTTCAACTTGAATATATTTTTTGAATTGAAAAAAATAAATGTATTATTTATCTATATTTTTTAGTTTTTAAATCTAATTTTAAAAATAACCAATAGAAAATACAATATATGCTGGTTGATTTTTGTTTTCAAAATCAGATATAAATGTAACAATATAGAGGCATATAATCTCTATTACTAGGGGCGGAGCTAACAAGGGGCCAGGGGGGTTATGTGTCCCCACTGGGTTTTGCAAATTTTATTTTATTTTATTTTTCAAGCAAACATAAAGAAAATACTTTAAATAAAAAAATTTATAAAAATATTATTTTAAATGTCAATGACATTTTTAAAATAATAAGAATAATAATGGTTATTTTGATTGAAAATAAAGTGATTACGATATTGTTATCTATGAAAATTTCAATATAATGGTGATATCTATCACTATTAACATGTAAACATAATTAATCTCAATGAAAATATAGAATTTATTAAATTAATAGTTGCATTTGACATATATTGTTCATTCTCTATGTGTTTCTTTACTATTGGTTGGTGATATAACATATTAATGATGACGTAATATAACTATTATATTGAATTTTTACGCATATTCTGCATAAAAAATTACTTTATCATTATATAATTTATTTTAAAACTTTATATCCATGACTTTTTTTAATATTGTCTATGATACACTAATTACAAATAATATTTAGCTTATTTGGTTCTAGTTTTCATAAAACAGTTTTCAAAAAATTCTACATTTTTATTTTTCGTATTTTAATGTTTTCAATAAATTTTTTTAATATTTTAAGCAAATTTTTTTAATTTTTAAACACACCTAATAAAAATATACCTAAAAAGTATAATATTTGTGAAAAAAAATCTTTAAAAAATATACTAAATACTAAAAAATATAAAAACAATATGAAAATTCAGTACATTTTTCATATTTTTGTGTATTTATTAATTTTTTAAATATTTTTTCACAAGTATTTTGAAAGAAAATACTTTAAATAAAAAAATTTATAAAAATATTATTTTAAATGTCAATGACATTTTTAAAATAATAAGAATAATAATGGTTATTTTGATTGAAAATAAAGTGATTACGATATTATTATCTATGAAAATTTCAATATAATGGTGATATCTATCACTATTAACATGTAAACATAATTAATCTCAATGAAAATATAGAATTTATTAAATTAATAGTTGCATTTGACATGTATTGTTCATTTTCTATGTGTTTCTTTACTATTGGTTGGTGATATCACATATTAATGATGACGTAATATAACTATTATATTGAATTTTTACGCATATTCTGCATAAAAAAATTACTTTATCATTATATAATTTATTTTAAAACTTTATATCCATGACTTTTTTTAATATTGTCTATGATACACTAATTACAAATAATATTTAGCTTATTTGGTTCTAGTTTTCATAAAACAGTTTTCAAAAAATTCTACATTTTTATTTTTCGTATTTTAATGTTTTCAATAAATTTTTTTAATATTTTAAGCAAATTTTTTTAATTTTTAAACACACCTAATATAAATATACCTAAAAAGTATAATATTTGTGAAAAAAAATCTTTAAAAAATATACTAAATACCAAAAAATATAAAAACAATATGAAAATTCAGTACATTTTTCATATTTTTGTGTATTTATTAATTTTTTAAATATTTTTTCACAAATATTTTGCTATTTGGATACATATTTAAGTAATGTGCATCTAAAAAGTAAAAAAATTGTTTAAAATTTAAAAAATATTCACTAAAACCAAAAAAATACAAAAAATAAAAAACTTAATTTTTAGTAAACTGAATTTAGAAAACTAAAATCAAACACACTAATTATTATTATTATTATTTTTTATTTCTCTTAAAGTTAATGGTAAAAATTTATGTTAAATATTTTTATAAAAAATTTTAATATAGTAATTAATAAGTGTCCCTTTTGATTTAATTTCTTGACTCCACCACTTATTACTGCTTTGTTCATGGTTTTGGTGATTTGAATTATTTTTATATTTTAAGAATCACATATTATAATATTTATGTGGATGAGGTATGCTGTGATTGTAATATGTAGATAAGGTATGCATTGATTGTAATATTATAAAGTTTCAAAATTTGTTTATTTGGATAATGCATGCAGTGATTGCAATACTTTTTTAAGTTATTGATTATAATTTTTTTTAAAGGAAATGCACAAGTTAAATTATGTTAAAAATTTATAAAATTTTAAACTGTCAAACCGATTCGCATCTATCTACCGATCTATCAATCTGCTCAATCTACATCCGCTAGATTGGTAGACGGATACAGATTGATTTTCTCTAATCCGTCAATCTGACGGATGGATGACAGATTCGAGGTTCCGTCGCCGTAATCCACCTGCAACCACCCCTACAATGGGAAATCACAATTTACTTCTTTTTTGCAGACAATTACATAATTTCTCACTGTCCTTCACTTTGTGGTGTTGTTGTTGTTGCTCTCCAAAAAAAAAAAAGGTGCCGATTGAGGAACAAATTGGAGCAATTGATTGGCTGCATGCGCAGAAGGAGGTTCTGCTTCCTCGGTGCTTTTTCTCAGGTAGAAATCCAAGAAACTTGTACAACATTGATTACAATACCAATGGGATTGGGAATGGGACTGGGAATGGAAATGGTTCAGCTGGTCATCAATTGGTCAGCGTGGCTGGTGTCGGCTCCGCCGTCTGCTTTCGCCATTCCCGTCCATTTTCCTTTGATGATTGGCGCTCCATTAAGAGGTATTACACTCAATCCTCTTCTCCATTTCACTCCAAAATGTTTTAATATGTACATATATCTATAATAAATGTTTTTTTTTCCCTGTGTAATTGAAGAGTTTTGTGTTTTGTTTGTTGGGAGACGCTACTATGTGTATGTACCCTGAATTTTGTAACAATACCATAAATTTTGTAATATGAATCGGAAGATGACATAACTTTTCTCATGTGCATACATAAATTCATTGTTGTAATTTTTGTCATAAATTGGCATAACAAACACCACAAATATTCCTAAATTTTATGACAAAAAATTGTAACTTTTTTACAATTTGCCTTTTTTGGGGTTGCACATAATAGATTTCCCTTCTTTTTTTTTCTTCTTTTTGTTAAATGGTTTTAAAAGGAGAAATATTTTTTGTGTACTTTATTTCTTAAATGAACACTTGGAAGTTGGAATTGTTTCTTCTGGTAATCTAGGGTTTTAATTTTTTACCATTCAAGCAAGGTTCCAACCATTGGAGTGAGTATTGGTGATAGATATTTAAGAGAGGTTGAAGATTTTAATCATTTCACAATTATATTTTTTTTAGTGTTTTTGGAGGGCAAAATATTTGTTAGAGTAGACCATTCTGAATGTAGTTTGACATATGTTCTATCTACTTAAAATATGGCCTACTCGATCATCCTCACGGTGCAGTGGCATATCACATTTTGTTCTCCAAAAGTTCTTCTGTTTTTGTTTATTTGTTTTTTTGGGAAATAATTTCTCTTAAGTTTTGAATCCCATATTGTCATGGGCTGCCTAACTTTGAATGAGACCTAAAGCGAAATCTCAAATGAGAGGTTTTTTTTTTTTAGTTATCTAATAGATAGTGCTTATAGATTTTGAAGTGAATAGTTAGGGCTTATAATAATAATAATAATAACAATAATGCTTGAGGCCTCGAATTTGCCTCGATTTTTTTTTTTTTTTTTTGCAAGGGTGGTTATATGTAGGCATTTGCTAAAAAACTAAACATCCCGCACCAACTCGGCCTGTATGGTTTGATAAGGTGAGTGAGTTGGATTGGACTGATTGGGTGATAAAATTGATTGATTAATTAGGTTGCTGGTTAAAATTTATTAATTTCATATAGTTTTGTACGAGTCTATACTATATTTTATTTCAAATCAGGAAGACTCGGAGGAAAAACTGATCAGTCAATTTTATCACCCAATCAGTCCAATCCAACTTACTCACCTTATCAAACCACATAGGCTGAGTTGTTTTTTTTCTTCTATTTGTTGGGCTGTGTTGTTTTTTTTTTTTTAATTTAATTTAATTTAATTTGTTGGGCTGTGGTGGTTTTGTTTTTTTTTTTTTTTTTTTTTTTTTTTTTTAAAGGCAATTATGTGTAGGTGTTTGTTAAAAAACTAGATATCCTGCACCAACTCATTGTTAAAAATTTTATGGAATTAATAAATTTTAACTATCAGCTTAACTGATCAGTCAATTAGGTTGGACTGGTTGAGTGATAAAATTGACTGGTCAGTTAGGCTATTGGTTAAATTTTGTTAATTTCATATAATTTTATACGATGAGTTGATACGAGATGTCTAATTTTTTGGCACATCCCCAAGCATAACCACCCTTTAAAAAAACAAACCAAAAAAAAAAACTAAAACAGCCCCCAAAAAAAAAAAATCGAGGCAAATTCGAGGCCTCTAGCACTGCTGTATATATATATATATATATGTATTACAACTATGTTTGAAGAGTTTAGAATCTTCTCTAAAATATGGCCTGCAAAATGAGGCCTAAAGCTTATGCTTTAGTGGCTTCACATGTGAGCCAGCCCTGCATATTGTGAGCTGGTGCAAGTACTATGTAGTATGTGTACCCATGTAGTTACTGCAGACAATAAAAAGCCACACCAACATATATATAGGTGTGTGTGTGTAAATATATATTGAAAAAAAAATGATGCAGTTTGTGTGGCAGGCATTTTGAAACTGATTAGACAGTTATCTGTGTAATTTGAAATTTGTTAGATAAAACTAAAATTCCAATTTTATTTATTTTTTAACTGCAGGTTCCTCTCTAAGAAATGCCCTTTGATTCGAGCTTATGGGGCTATCCGCTTTGATGCAAGGGCTGACATATCACCTGAATGGAAGTCTTTTGGTTCGTTCTACTTTGTTGTTCCTCAGGTAATATATAGTTTTCCTTTCATTGAGTAGCTATTGTCAATTACAGCGTACACATCAAGTCATGTTTATCCATCGTATATAAACACCCATTGATAGGATTTAAATGACAGGTTGAGCTTGATGAGCTTGAAGGTACATATATCTATAATAAATGTTTTTTTTTCCCTGTGTAATTGAAGAGTTTTGTGTTTTGTTTGTTGGGAGACGCTACTATGTGTATGTACCCTGAATTTTGTAACAATACTTTCGTGTACATATGGAAAAGCAATAACTGCACTTCAATCCACTCTGCAACAGGTCCCTACTGGCAAGACTTGTTAATATTTTGTTTGTTTCCCTTTTGTTTAGTTTTGTGTCTTCTTTTGCTTCTTCCGTCGGTGAAACAATGCATGGTTTGTGTACTGCTTTTATTGATTTATTTATTTATCTCAGTCTTTGATGGTGTAGGTTTCCTCTATTGTTACAAGATTACAAAAAGAAGTTCCTAATACGTTCATACTCGGCAACGAGTACATGCCCAATAAGACATCTTGGGATCTTGCTGTTAAGAATGCTCTGCAGATGATAAATGGAAACAACTCACCGCTCATTAAGGTAATACATATGATAATTTGCTACAGTTTCTGCAGTAGCTTCATGTAGTTCTAATTGCCTCTGGCAACCATTCTATGGGTTGCTCACATCTGCAAGTTTTGAGTCTTTAGTGTTGAAATTCAAAATCCATATTTTTCATCATGATTGCTTTTGTGCTATCATTTCCTATTTTCTTTTTTCTTTTTTGGGTTTTTTTTTTTTTCCTTTTCTTCTTCTCTTGTTTCTTTTTCTTGTCACCATCTTGTGTTGCTTTCCTTGCTTCAACTTCTCCCTGGAAATTCAGGTTGTTCTTGCACGCAGCAGCAGATTTGTGACTGCTACTGATATTGATCCCCTAACATGGTTGGCTTGTTTACAGGTGTTTTTACTCATCTTAGTTTTGTTTCAGTCAATTTTTTTCCGTGGCAATGTTTTAGTTTTAGGTAAATACCATTTATTACATTACTACTTTCAGGCTGAAGGTGAAAATTCTTATCAATTCTGTCTTCAGCCTCCTGATGCACCAGCATTTATTGGAAACACTGTATGTATTGACTCAAATTTTTTTTTCCCCCTCAACAAAGCTCTTGTACTCATTTTTCTTCATTGTGTTGTGTGTTTCTCTGATATTACCTTCCTGATTCTCAAGTACCAAAATTAGCTTCTTTGGCCATTGTAGTATTATTACCAAATTAATTGCATCTTTGGAACATCAAACAATCTCCATAAAGATGTGATCTATTTAGCCATGTGAAATGGAAAATATTTTCAAGTTCAATGCCTCATATTTTTTTGTTTAAAATGTCTAAATTTTAGTCTAGTATACCTTTTGCATTACGGGAGCTCTTTTTGAAGTGATATTGATTAGGTTATTCTTAGTTTTGCTTATGTTCATTGGAACTTATTCTCCTGCTGTTTTCTTCTTGTTAGTTGCCATGAATTAAAATCTGCATGTTATTTTACACGAATGTGTTTCTATAGAAAATTTAATTTAAAAGTCTTGCCCCTTTTTAACATTTAAGATAACTATGAGCTAAGGTGCACCTTTCTCAAACTGATGTGGGATTAAATGTCTATTTTCTGTTAATCACTGAAATAAATTATGTTAATAGCCAGAGCAACTATTTCACCGAAACTGGCATGACATTTCTAGCGAGGCTTTAGCTGGAACCCGAGCTAGAGGCAGATCTGAGGCTGTAGATCTTCAGATAGAGCTTGATTTGCTTTCCAGGTTTATTTTGTTATTCCACATACCAAAAATGTTTCATTTATGGTGATTACATTGTATTTTGTTTGTGAATATACCATTTATTGGCCATTAATTGCCCCTCCCCCCTCTGAATTCACCTTGTAGTCCAAAGGACCACAACGAGTTTACTATTGTACGAGAATGCATAAAAAGAAAGCTAGAGGTAAGTGACCTTGGATACCTTTCAACAAAAGTAATTGTATTCTTGTTTGAAAGGACATACATTTATGCAATTACTATTATATCATTTTCCCCCCTCTTTCGATTTAAAGTTGCTTCAATCCCTTTCATGATGTTAATGTCATTGTTTCAATGGAAAAGGAAAATGGTCTTTCTCAATTCCTCTTCCCCCACAGTTCTTCTAGTGCTTTCTCGTCTAAGGGTGATATTTCTAAGCATCTCCTTAGCGCTTCTACTACTTGGTTAAAAATTGATGCACAAGGTTGTTACCAATGACATGATCTATTGAGAGGTGTGGTTTCTTGAAACTTCACTGCACCTAGCAAGCCTTTTCTTTCTCCAAACCTACAACTTCCCTAATATTGTGTACAACGTGATACAATATCTAGCTGCCAATCTAGTGCATTGTCAGCACTTAAATTATAATCACTTGTACCCCTCACGAATAATTCCAGAACAGCATCTATGTTTTGACTCTATTTTGCTTTGTAGGCTGTATGTATCAGGGTATCAGTTGAACCAAAGAAGGCAATTCGAAAGCTCCCTAGAGTCCAACATCTCTATGCCCGATTGACGGGGAGGTTGAGAAGTGAAGATGATGAGGTAAAGTTCAACATGTCAAGTAACTAAGTTTAGCTTTTAGTTTAATAAATAAGATTTCCAGTTCAGAATTCTATCTGTTCATTCTTCTGTATCAGATACCTGCTACGTAACCATCTAAAATCATCTTCCTGAATCAATATATTTTGAACAGTCATATTGTTTTATATGTGGGTGTGTATGTATATAATTATTAGACTTCGGATTTTGAATGTTTCATATGTTGATAATGAATGTTGAGTGGCTTAGTTTCTCTTACACGAGTCTGCTTTGTTACCAGTATGAGGTATTGTCTTCCCTTCATCCAACTCCAGCAGTTTGTGGGTTTCCTACAGAAGAGGCACGCGTTCTAATTGCAGAAACTGGTACATCTATATTGCTATATCATTTCTGTTCTGCAATCTGTGTTTTATGGCTCGTTTACATCCACAATGTGAAATTTTTAAGATGAGATGTAATTCAATTTGACTAAAGTTGAACAAGAAAGGAATCAATGATCTAAAGAGAGTATACATACTTATCTTGCCTAGACGGAATCATATATCATGATTTACACTTCCCTGTAAAGCTTATGTGTTTACTATCCATTTAGTGCGGCTCGTCTAATTTGAAGTACATATATCAGGGGTACAAATTGCACTATTAATGAATTCAATCTTTACTCTAGAACACTAGATTTAGCCTGACTAACATCGGTCATTTGGTTTTTTTTGTTAAAGTATTGAACTATTTGTTTCAGTTGGGGAAGGGGGGTGTTTTCTTTCCTGTTATCAAATCGCCATGATTTTTAACTTTATTTCCATGTCTGATGATTATTTTTAGATCATCTAATTGCGATTATACTTTTGCTGCTTGTTATGGGACAGAATATTTCCTCTGCCGTTTTTTTTTTTTGGATTCTCAACGAATCTAAAGAGAGATATTCTTTTAATGCTATCCCATGTAAGTGAAGTTTATATCAATTATGTTGTACAGAAATGTTTGACCGAGGAATGTATGCTGGCCCGGTTGGTTGGTTTGGAGGAGGAGAAAGTGAGTTTGCTGTTGGAATAAGGTCAGCCTTGGTGGGAAGGGTGAGCCACTTACTGCTTACATCTTTCCCAGAAATCTATATTATTTGTCATCAAAACTTCAACTTTTGACAGTACACTAAAAATGTAGTTTCTGCCTTTTGTTTTCCTTTTTTCTCTGTCAAGCTATTTACCAAAAGAACTGTTGAACTGGTTTTCACTGACAGTAACAGCAATGGGGTTATTCTGTATATGGATTTACTTTCATTTCAAAAATCTCTATAACTGTCCATGATTTTGTAGTGATGTCATTCTCAAAGTAATGTGGGCTGACCAATTTGGATAGGGACTTGGTGCATTAACTTATGCTGGAACTGGTATAGTTGAAGGAAGTAATTCATCTTTAGAATGGGAGGAACTGGAGCTGAAGACATCTCAGGTTTGTGAATGTCTGTGTTTGGATGCATATATGTGGATGTGTGGGTACGCATTTGTGTCTTTATGCACGTGCCTTCATGCTTCCAAACATGCATGTAGAATTGCCATATTGTATAGTACTGTGTTAAGGGCATATCACATTGCATCATCAAAAATGCTTTTAGCAAATACCAAGCAATGCTAAAGGCCTTTTTCCATGTTTTTTGGGTGCAGTTTACCAAGTTGATGAAACTTTGAGGTGCCTCTTTTGATACCAAGAAGGGGTGACGTCACAATTATTAATTGAAGAGGTTTGTGGTTCTTACATAAAATTGTAGCTTATAGCGTCATTTTGATATTGCATTGTCATGTTTTTTTTTTTAAATTTAAAATAAAATAAAATAAATTAAGTAGTTAAAAATAACATTACAGCATTAGGTTGGTCAAGCTAGTTGGGGACTTTCTAAGGCTCCTTTCAACCTCTGTACTGCAAACCAGTGTTAAAAACTGGCTTTTCCCAAAGAGTATTGTCTTTGTTCAATAATTTGTATTAATAATTATTGTGTTCAATAATTCAGTTCCCAGTTCATTTTCTGTCTTCTTGATAACACCAATAGTGGACATTTAGCTATCACTCTAGTTCTCTGTTTTGGTTACTGTACTTTCGGAGTTCTCACTTAACCAAGCTAAGTAGTGTTAGTGTTAATGTTTTCTTAAAACTGAAGACGATGGTTATATGGTGACAGATGTATAAAGGTGAAGTGATATTCATTGAAGAGGCTAATATCACAACCTGTTGGATTAAATGTGTCATCTTCAACTTCAGCATTGAGTTATAGATCTTGATTTGTTTTTTGATGGCGCAAACCGCCAAGTGTTTCCCTCTTTGGCTGGTTTTACCATCTTTGCTCTCATAATTGGTTTGTTCAGATTCTTTTCATTTGGTTCACTATTTTATTTGTAATATGTCATGTATGAGACTCAAAACATGAGATATTTGATGATCAGATTGAAAACTTATTAGGGAGAATAGGTACAATATATGTTTGAGTTAACTTTGTATTGCAGGTGTAAAACCAAGTTGTGTGTAGAATTATTTTATTGGATAAATTAGTAATTAAATTATTTTATATGGGTCATCTATTAATATCAAAGAATTAGTTATGAGATGGCATTATATTGGGAAATTCTATTTCCATACACTTTTTTATCTCTGTGCACATCATATCTCAATGCACACCCTTGTAAATTTGATAATACATTATTATTCTCACTTCACACACTATATTTCCAATTATAACCCTAACCCAAATCTTATACACAAACCCCACCTTGAAACACCCACCTACGCTAAACACATCCACACAGCTACCCACGGAGAGCCACATAGCCTAACTCCATTGAAGACCCATGGTGAAGATCCAATTCCATTGAAGAACTACACTGATGCATTGTTGAAGGTAAGTAATAGATGAATTAAAAAATTGGGTCTTGAATTTGATTTACATCTCCAGCAATCTTCGCTGCTTCAACAGCAATGGCGAGGAACTGTGAGTGTGAATCTGAATCAGTGGAACTATATCAGAAAACAAATTGATTCAAATATAGAGAACAATTACATACATATATATATACACACACAAACACATAAGAACACGCATATATACAAATTATATACATATATAGGAACAGAGTGAGGAGAGATTAATGGGCTCCTGAGCTCATCAAACAATTCTTTGCGAAAATGGCCGAAAATGGTATGGATCTTCTCATCAATAAAATGGTATGGTTCCTGAGCTCCTCAAAGAAGAACATGCATACACACAAATTCTTTGTTCTTGAGCTTTGTGGCACACGAAATAACAACAATGACACCACAAATTTATGTGTAAAGAGAAAACTAAGATTTCATATTTAGTGTGTTATGATGTATATTATGGTCATTTTGTTTCATGGTAAAATTGTTATTAAAATTTTGTTTCATTAAGTGTGTGCGTAAAGATGAAAAGGTATGTGGAAATAGAATTTTTCCATTATATTTTCTATTGCTTAGATGGGTAATTTTGTAACTTTGAGAAATTAGGTTAAAAAGCCCACTTGTTGTGGCTTTAAGTCTTGGAAAACAAACAAAACAGAGGCTGGTATTGCTCCATAGGCGGCAAGGGTTTGAGAAGGTAAAAGAAAAAAAAAGAAAAAAGAGGAGAGGTTCAAGTGAGGCTGCAATAGGGATTGGAGGCAGCACGTTGGGTGATTTTGGGACACCTATTGGTTGAGGTTTGTGTGATTAAAGTGGTGGAGCTGAGTGTTTGGAGTTGGTGTTGGAATATTATTTTTAAGCGTTTGAGGTAAGTAACTCTCTATCACTGTTGGTTCATTTTTATTCCTATTGAATCGTTTAAAATCATAAATATTTATTTATATCCTTCATGTTCTCTTAAAATAAAATATGGGTCAAGTATAAAACAACATCGAATATTATTATGAAAATTATTTGAATATTTGGTGAAACTATTCTGAAAATTGATGAGAATTGCCAAATGTTTATTCTGAAAATATCGAATATTTTATTTAAAAGTTGTATATTGTTTGAATTCTGAACATCACTCTAGTCTGACTATGATTTGGACCCTAGCCAATGGGGGTTATTTATTAGTACAGAAACTAGTTTTCTTTAGGGTTTTACCACCGGCCTATGTGTGGTTCTGGGTCTTGTCATGGGCTAAGTGACCGTAGTCACCAAGCACTTGAGTTTTGTGAATCAAATCATTGAACCATCTGAATATCGAACCATCGATTTAAATAACGAATTTACTTTGAATTATCTTGTTGCTTTTCAATTAAAATGTATTGTACATTGTTTAGTTTTAACTATGAAATCATCTTACAATAAATGTTCATTTATTGAATTATAGCAAAAATTATATTTATTAGTTATCGACTATTTATGCATTTATTTTTGTATACTTGATCCACTAGCAGTGATGGTTGGTTATTTACTGGGCTGTCTAGCTTATCTTATTTTTTTTTTTTTCAGATTCTGAGAAATAGAGCTGCGCGGGTTTTTTTAACTTATGGGAGTGCCGAGAGTAGAACTATGATTTAAGTACTTGGATTATTGTTTTGTTAGTGGATTAAATTAGTGGACTTGGTGGACATTTTCATATAAAAATTTATTTATTTTTATGGATTTCGGCATTATGACAATTAAGGATTTTATTTGAGTATTTTACATTGTGGGTTATGTGATTAGACTTTTAACCTTATATGCTCACTTTTATGAGTGTGCGGCGTTGTCACGGAGCTTGGGCGTGACAGCAGGATAAACTCTCATCTGTGAAATCATTTTATTTTTTTATTTGTGTGTTTGATCGGCAATGCTGTTTTAATCTCTGGGTCCAGATATTCTCAGCAAGTTTTGCATTCTAACTTGCTTAGACATCCCTTCATGGTATTAGGCCTGTTTGGTTCAGTTTTTCTCAATTGAAAGTTGAGAAATATAAAAGTACCAATTTCTTAACTTTCAGATAATTATTTTTTTTATGGATAAATTATAAATACACTCTTTGAGATTTGTTTAAAATATAAATGCCTCTTGTAGTTTGAAAAATTACAAATATCTCCTTATTAAAAAAAATTAACAAAATTAATTAAAAAAAAAATTCATGATTACTCTCTTATACAATAATAAAATTACATAAATTATTAATTGAAACATATTTGTAACATATTAAAAAATTGTTAATTGATTTGATGGTTTACTAATAAAATGGGCGATTTGCTATGAAATTAAAAATCTCAAGAGGTGGAATGTAATTTTTAGAATTACAGGGGCGATTTGTATTTTAATCAAATCTCAGGGAGTGTATTTTTAATTTATCATTTTTTTAATAGATATTTTAAACTATTTTTGCATCATAAGCAATAAGCAGAAATTGTATCAAATATTTTACACATTTTTTTAAATTTAAAAAGGTGTAAACAACTCTAATGAGTTTGTAACAAATTGGGTCATTCAATCATGCTGGGACCCATGGGGAGGCGACCCCCAGCACCCCCCCCCACCTCCACGTGGGGGGCTCCAAGTGGTAGAAAAAAAAAAGAGTTATGGACCAATCAAAAACAGTGGGGTGGTGGGAGTCACCTTCACTGGAGGTCTCATGCATTTTCCTTGTATCATTAACTTTTTAGCTTAGCATCAAATCTTAAAAACAAAGAGAGAAAAAAAAAAAAAAAAAACATTTTAGCTTAGAGAGAGAGAGAGAGAGAGAGAGATCACCATATAATTGAAGAAAAATGCTTGGGAGCACTAATTAGTGCTCCCACTAATTAGGTGGCAGTGGGTCCCGTCATTAATGATGTGATGTTTTGGTCTGGAGTTGTATTTTTTTTATTTTTTTTTACTTTTTTAATGCATTAGTGCTATTAGTGGTGATATTTTTTAGTGGATGAATCATTGTTGATAAATGAATGGTGTTAGAAAATTCCCCATTAGTGTTTTTTTTATTTTATTTTATTTATTTTTAAAATGAAAAGGAAGAAATTGAAATTACGCGCCGAGGTGAAATGTGTTATATTATTTTTTCACATATTCACATAACCTTTGATTAAATTTCTCGTGTATTATTATTGGCAATGCTTCGACATCAATATCTGTAAATGAAAGAAGCCAATAATCTCAAATTAGTGAGAATGATATCATCGCAAATAAAATTTCGTAATGCACAGTAAATGAAAAAAGACTGAATGACACACACACACATATATATGCCATGATTTAGGAAGTGAAATTTGTGGCTATGAAATCAAACTGATGTGATGATAATTGATATGCTAAATTTTTGCTTTAGGATGAGCAGTGCATGCCAAGTCCACACATGCATGTGTGGGTATTCACATTTCTCGCTAAAGCAACTGTATCTGTGGCCATTGCTTAATTATGTGTTATTTTTCTATATCATCAACCTTTAATAGAGGGTGTGAGGCTAAGAGAAATAAGAGGTTATTTTTTCTAGGTATATCTGTATTTATACACTTCTTGTTTTGATTTCTCAGGACCCCAAACAATTGAGATTGCAGGTTTGTAATTTTTTTTTCTTTTCTTTCTTGTTAACAAAATTTGATAAAGTACTAGCGATTCATTGATAGTACAGTAAAACATATAACATATATTGGATATATAGTGGCCTTAAATTTATTTAATTGCATTCATAGGCTCTTCTTTCATTATATTTTCACGGTCGAAAATGATTTCATCTTGATGGTATGTGTTATTTGGTTTGTACAGTTGTTATCAGAGAACATATAAAAAGAGTAAGAAAAGATGATACGTTGTCTTCTTTTCCTCTCTATTAATGACACTACCTCAACATTTGCTTACATGGGTTATGAAAAGAAATTGCATTTCCTATCAAGCCTTAGTTCTCACTTTCATTGTAATTTTTTGTGCTTAGAGAAAACTCAAGATCCATTAAGCGATACATTAAGGTATGGGAGAGACAGAAGACTCGGAGAAGAATGGCAGTGCAACCAAAGCCCAGAAGGAGGAAAGCACGAAAAGAAAAGAGAAACATGCAGACATGGATGAGAAAGAAGGGAAAGGGAAGAGAAAAGCAAAGATAAGAAGAAGAAAGACAAAGATGGTAAAGATAAGGAAGATGGTGGAAAGGAGAAGAAGAAGAAGGATACTCAAGATACGACGGATCCAGCGAAACTGAAGCAAAAGCTCCAAAAGATTGATGCCAAGATGCAAGAATTGACGACAAAGAGAGAAGAATTCTTAAAACTTCTTAATGAAGTTGAGAAAAATGCCGCGAATCCAAGTTAAAAAATGCATTTTCTAAAAATGTGATTGGTTTCAAAACTGTTTTTGAAAAAACAAAAACAAAAAAATCTGAAAACAACCCTCTTTGGAACTTTGTGAAAAATGATGTGCATTTTTGAACTTTCATTGCTTTTATTTTGGAAATAAGAAAAACAAAAAAAAGATACTAAACAATTCCTATAATCTTCTCAAATGAGTGTTGGAGATTTGTTGGAAGGTTTTTTTTTTTATTTTTAATATATATATTTTAGTGATTTAAAGGATTGATCACTGTACTATTTGTAGTAGTAGGTTACTATATTTTTTTTTGGGGGGGGGGGAATTACTTGTCAATGTTGTCTTCAAAACTTAATTACAAAAATCATGGACAAGATTATGATTTTACATATTAATGTTTATAAAGAATATCATTAATTTAAAAATATTTTTTTACTCTTAACAC